AATGAGGTAGGCTGCAAAATCATTCTCAGCTGGGATCAAATCCAGTACCACACAATTACGAAGGGCATTCACAATGCCTAATCCAGAGACACCAAAAGAGTGGAAGGTGTAACGTTAAAAGGGGGAATCAGGAAATGAAACACAGGCAGACTTAACAATACAACACGAAAAAATGAACCATAAATCAAAAAAAAATTTAACCTGCAATCTTAGGAAATGTAATATCTAGCAAACAGAAGATTTAACCAATATGCTAGCAGCTTCAACTTAAATGAGATACCCTAAAGTGTACTTGTAAAAGGTCAATTCTTAGAGTTATATAACGGCAGTTCCTAACTGAGAGATATCTCAGCTTCAACTTAAATGTGATATCCTAAAGTTTACCTGTAATGCACCAACTTTGACTTTAATAGTATATCCAAAATCCTGACTGAGTGAGTTATCTCAGCTTCAACCTAAAGGTGATATCCTAACCAACTCTGACTTGAATGGTATATCCAAGATCTTTGAGATATCTTAACTTTGACTTCAATTAAATATCCAAAAGTTTTCTTGTGATATGCCAACTCCTACATAAGTACTGTAATCCCATTTATCAATGCAATATCCTAGCTTTCAATGCATTGGGACATCTTCAAGTTCTGCTAATAATATACAACCATCCTATTTCTACTTTAATTACCAACCTTCCTATTTGTACTTAAAATTACCAACCTTCCTATTTCTACTTATAATTACCAACCTTACTTTTCTACTTATAATTATCCACAAGAGTTTATATTTCAAATATTTCTAGTTTCTACTTATCCATTATTTCATGTGCAATACACGAGGTTCCTTTTATAATATCCAATCTTCCTCATACAATACCTGAGACTACTTGAAATATTTCCAAAGTCTGCTTTTAAAATTGCAACTTCTACTTGTAATATCTTCTTCTTAGCATTCAGTGGCTGTAAATGCTGACTTAAGGTTCAGGCCATTCCTCTACTTCTGGACTTTTGTTTTGTCCCAGAACTTAGGTTACATGTGCACACCTGTTTTACAGATCTGGCTTTTCTGTATGCAGACTGCTGGTTCCTCACCTCTTAGGCAGATGTACTCCAAATTTAAAAGAAACTTCCCTAGTTAATTGCCTTCTACAACATGCTCGTTAGTAAGGAAGCAAGTTTACCCCCCCCCCCCCATGAATGGGGCCCCAGAACCCACAATTAGAAATATAATATGATATTCCGGGATACCCAAACCCATCAGCCTCATACTCTGAAGCTTGCAGACTCATTTCAAAGACTGCATTGTTCAGCTTAAGACTGCAATTTTTACGGACATTCACAGGGACTGTCACTGGAGCTACAGAGTTTGTGTTTTGTGCGTCGCTCTTGGCAGATGGAGAGACACTAAGGACAACGAAGCTTATCCTCTCAACTTAAAACTTTAAACCTAGAATATTAATTTTAACACACATTCTGAGATCATGTTTTGATTTACCCTGTGCTAGAAATAAAAAAGATGACGGCTGCTGGGCTGAAATATCCCTGCATGGGTTCCGGGGCCCCAATGTGGAGGAAAAAAGATTAGACCCACTGCCTTCCTAACAAGCTTATCATAAAAGGCGATTACTCAGGGCTGATTCCTTTGAAGTTGGAGTGTATCTGCCTGAGAGAAGAAGAGGAACCAACGGTCTGCATGCAAAAATAAGCGAGATCAGTAAAAAAGAGATGAGTATGCAAAACTGATTCCTAGAGTAACACTAAAGTCGAGAAGTGGATGAAGAACAATCAGAATTCTCTGCTAGTTTACAGCCCGGTGAGAGCTAAGAAGAAGAAGAAGTGATACCAAGAAGTAAATGAACACACAACACTAAGACCAGGAAGTTCAAAAGAGAGACAGGGAAAAAATGCATATCTTTTCCCTTCCCTTTGTTGAGCTTCCTAGTCAAAGTTTGTCTTGTGTTAATTTTATTGTCCTGATGTATCTAAGCCTGAATTTACTTTTCCTGAGATACCTCAGCCTGAATTTACTCTTTCTGAGGTATTTTCACCTTAATTTACTTTTCCAAATGTACACAGCCTTAGTTTACTTTCCCTAAAGCACCTTAGCCCTGATTTACTTTTTCTGAGGTAGCTTAGCCTTCATTTACATTTCCTGAGATAGCCTTAATTTACTTTTCCTAAGGTACACAGCCTTAGTTTACTTTTCCTGAGGTACCTTAGACTTGATTCAATTTTCCTGAGGTATCTTAGCCTTAATCTACTTTTCTGGAGGTACCTTAGCCTTTATTTACTTTTCCTGAGGTATCTTAGCCTTAATCTACCATTCCTGAGGTACCTTAGCCTTAATTTACTTTTCCTGAGGTATCTTAGCCGTACTCTACTTTTCCTGAGGTACCTTAGCCTTAATTTACTTTTCCTGAGGTATCTTAGCCTTAATCTACTTTTCCTGAGGTACCTTAGCCTTAATTTACTTTTCTTGAGGTATCTTAGCCTAAATTTACTTTTCCTGAGGTGTTTTTGACTTAATTTAAATTTACTTTTCCTAAAGTATCTTTGCCTTAATTTACTTTTCCTAAGGTTCATAGCCTTAATTTATTTTTCCTGAGGTACAGAGCCTTAATTTGCTTTTCCTGAGATATTTTATCTACTACTGGAGTGACATAATGTATCATTTATTTCAATAAAAAGTTCTTTAAAAAATCAAACCTCTTAACACTTCTAACAAGATACTAACATACCATTTTTAAAGGAAGTAAATAAACCACAAATATATCTGCTAGAATGTTCCTACAAATCAGTAACTACACATTAATAGATTTACTATTATCTAGATACACAACTTTAGTTATACACAAAAGATAGGCCAATAGTTATGCAGCAATGCCAGACTTCTGGCTGTGCACTAACAACACACCACTGGCTAGAAAAAAGGCAAACCACAGACTCACAAGCACAGACAAAGTCTGTAGTAGAAAATAATGATAAACCTTAGCTTGAAAGTGAAGACAAATCATTAACAATAGAGTACAAAAGTACAGATAAACAAACCCTTGTGTACAAAGTAAAGATAAACCTACAAGTAGGAAGTAAAGAAAACCTACATGGAAAAATATAAAGACAAAACATTACATTCAAAGCAAATACAAACTCTTAGCAATGAAGCTGACTAACCAGAATGCAGAGGTAAGCCATCAACTCTAATGTAATTTACAAAATCTTATCTAGAAAGCAAATGCACACAACTTAAGTTTGAAACAAAGACAGATCATAAGCTTTACAGCAAAGACAAACCTTTAGCTAGAAAATAAAGGCAAATCTTCAACCATAATGCAAATACAATGCATTAGCTAGAAATTAAAGACAACTAATTATTTATCCACCATAGAAAAACTATTAGCCTGAAAGTAATGACAAACCATCAGCTAGAAACTAAAGACAAACCACTGGCTAGAAATTAAAGACAACCAATCCAACATTTCAGGCACAGCAGAAGACAGATACTAAAGATAAAACACTCAACTAGCAAAATAAACATGGTAAGCATGAGACACAAGACCTAAGCAGGAGTTTACAAACAAGAAACACACAGAGTAAAATAATAAGGGGTTATGCACTTTCAAGGTGGTAGAAATTACTGGAGCCAGGTCTGGATATGTGTTCCAGTGAACAGGTGGCGGTGGAGGTGGAATATCATCCTCGTCTGACACCAGCCGGGTTCGTGTCAGTCGTTGTCCTACCACGGGTGGTGGTGGAGGAGGCAGCTGGAACAATGCAACAACAGCATGCAGCACAAATAGCAACAACTGAGCCTTGCTACAAAACACTGTCAGTGGCACAGAACTTTACTGTTTTTTTTTTTTTTGGTTTGCTTCTGATCCAATGTCTCAAGTCATACTAAATATGTCATCTTAAAATTACAAACAAGAAACACAGGCTGACATAGAATAAGCTGCTTCTGTAGCAAGATGGCAGAATTCTGTGATCCGAGTTTGGCTAATACGAAGACACTGATAGAAGGGAGCAGGGGTAGCTCACTTCCTAAAACTATAATCTAATGTATCCAAAGTCTGACCTTTTTAATCATACCAGCAGTACCTGCTTTATTTAGCAAATGAGAAAGTAGTGACGCAAGCAGGCAGGAGCAGCTCACTTCAAAAAACTACAATTTCGTATATGTGAAGTCTGACTTTTCTAACTTGATGAGCAGTATCCGCTGTGACTGATTACCATCATTTATATTTAATAGGAAATCAGTAGCATATACCTCATACGATCATGTCAAATGCTTTAAAAATAAAAAGAATAAAACTTGTGACCCTGAGAGTCAGAAAATGGAAAAAACATATTTTTCTGCCATAGCTCAGCTGGCTCAAGGACTTTCTTCAATGGAGAAACCAGCATAAACATTGCAGCCATCTTCTTTGAAAAACTAGTAGAAGGATCAGATGCCCTTCCTCTGCATAAAGTAATGATATTTCTCCTTAGCATATGTTGCAGCCAAATCCTGGCTGTTTCACACATATATGGATCGTTGTCCTTTATGCTTCTGAAGTATCATAGTCATTTCAACACAGTTTGATTCCAGTAAATATAATTACTGTAGTTACTCAAGTGTAAGATGATCATATGTGTAAGATGCAACTTGATTTTGGAAATTTGGAGGAAAAAAAATATGATTATATAAAGATCTACTACCATTTAATAAGACAGAACGTTTTTAGACCCTATATTTTTGGCAAATAAGTGTGTCTTATATCGTATATTATGCATTCCACAAATGATGCTTTCATTAGCAGAATATTTCTCCATTTTACGGATGTTAGTTGAAATATTTACTCATGTCTGCAGTCTGTGTCCTAATGATGCAATCCATCTACACTTGCTCAGGGAGACTGCGCCTCTATGGCCTGCCTAAAGTACTTCAGCTCCATCAACATGAGTCAAAACAAACATTCAATAAAACAGTGAACTAGTGCATGAGCTCATGAGATAAGGCTTGAAACAAACCTCAGCTTTGCTGTGGTTGTGTGTGAATGGCTGCTCCCTCTCCCATTTGCTGGCTATTCTTAGTGTCTCCAAAGTCTTCTCTTGTGAAGTCTTGTTCTCATCTAGAAGTGTGGACTCATAGAACTCTTGGATGTCTGCAGATATGTAATGGGTAATGTCACGGATCACAGCAGACATAAGTAAAGTCATAGATTACAGCATACTTATAAATGGTAGTCATAGATTACAGCAGACATATAAGAAGTAAAGTCATAAATTACAGCAGACATATAAGAAGTAAAGTTACAGATTACAGCAGACACATAAGAAGTAAAGTCATAAATTACAGCAGACATATAAGAAATAAAGTCATAAATTACAGCAGACACATAAAAAGTAAAGTCATAAATTACAGCAGACATATAAGAAGTAAAGTCATAAATTACAGCAGACATATAAGAAGTAAAGTCATAGATTACAGCAGATATATAAGAAGTAAAGTCATAGATTACAGCAGACATTTATTGCATCAAGTCATGGATTAAAGCAGACATTTAATCACATATTACTGCAGACACATAATAAGTAAAGTCATGGATTACAGCAGACATATAATGGTTAATGTCAGGGATTACAGCAGACATTTAATGCACTGTCATGGATTAAAGTAGAAACATACTGATTTCTTTGTGTGTGTGTGTGCACACAGATACACCCACAGAAACAAACAGACACACACACAAACAAACACACGCACACACATGTGCTCAGACACACAAACCCACACACACAGATACTCACTCATTCACAAGACACACACATACAGACACACAAACCCGAAGACATACAGACACACGCAGACACACACATGCACACACACACACAGATGCACATGCACACAAAAACACACACAGATACTCACAGACATACACACAACCCACATACATAGACAAACACAGACACGCACACACACAAATACACACACACACACAAACACACACACACTCAGATACACACGCAGACACATACACACCCCCACATACACATATGCAGACATACCTACTACACACAGGAACACACACACATATAAACGCACACACTCATACACAACAAGAACTACAGGCAGACAATTAGCAACACATGCAGCTAGCTAACAACACATTTAAACCACTAGCAACACACAGATACACAAGTAGTAACACACACAGACACACAAGTAGCAACACACAAAAATGCACAAGTAGCAACACACAGACAAGTAGCAACACACATAGACACACAAGCAGCAACACACACACACAAGTAACAAACAAACAACTAGCGACACATACAAGTAGCAACACACGCAGACAAACACAAACAAATACACACATATACTCACACAGACATACACACACACGCACACACACACACACAAAGACACACAAACCCGCAGACACACACACATAGAAAAACATGCACAAACACACACACAGACGCTGACAGACATACACACACAAACACAGATACATATAGACAAACATGCACAAACACACATAGACGCAGACAGACACATACAAACACACACACAGAGATACTCACAGACACGCACACACACACAGATACTCACATACACATACACAACCCACACAGACAAACAAATACTCACAAGCACCTACACACAGTCCCCAGGCACGCATGCAGTCGCACATACAGACACACGCAGACACATACACACAGACGAACATGCACAAACACACACAGATACACGCACGCACACACACACACATACATATAACAAGCACCATGCACATACAACCAGCAACATAGAAAGACACACGCTGACAGCTAACAACACATTTAAACCACTAGCAACACACACACACCTAGCAACACATACACACACACACACCTAGCAACACACACCTAGCAACACAAGCAGACCACTAGTGTCACACGATCACGCACATCAGCATAGATCTGGACATGCTCGTGATGTAACTATTGATTCCCACCCAGCCTACAGCCCGACGACGAGCCTACAGCCCTGGCCGGTAATCATGTAAATTTAATGAATGACCCTCACGTTTCACTCTTCTCAACTAGTCCCAGCAATCCCTAGAGACAAAATGCATTTGCTTTTTCCCCCATAATTATGTATTTAAAGCTGTACTATCGTCCACTGGCTCGCCGGCAGACTAATTCGTCGCCGTTCTAGACAGCGTCTGGCTCTGTCTCCTGTGATTGCACAACACTGCAGGGGTCCTTTTCATGGTTCTTGGTGGCATGCAATGTTAATTTTTATATGGAGCACAAAACCCAGCCACTATTATAACCTAAAGCTCCTCCGTCGGGGATGCTTCTTGAATGTGACGATTTTGAGCAAAGCAACGCAGCGGTGGCAGATGGCCATCTATCTCTAAATCCTCTCAAAGTCGTCATTGACAAATAAGGCATTGAGAAGTGATCTCCCCTGATAGCAGTGTGCTACTTTTTTTGCCCACGGTATCACATGTCATTTTATATTTCTTCGTTTCTCCTTCTATTTTCCTTCTCCGTGTTCCCTGATGTGGGCCATCATCATCATCGTGTAGCGGGTGCTTTTGCAGAACGTGGCTCTCCAGCCTGAACGAAACTCGGTCTCTCGCCAGATCTCTCGCCTTGCAATGCACTTTCCTACCCACGGTGCCCTTTTATAGGGTAAGGCTTAGACGACGGAACAACATCAACGCATAAGAGTAATAACCCAAAAGTGCCCCGTTCTACTTCTGACTCAACCTGAGTCCGAAGAATCTCAGCGCAGTGCACGAACTCTGTAGCACCGGCGAGGATCCTGAAATACTTTGGGTAGATTTTTAAATCCAAATTTTGCCCGGGCAGCGTCGTTAAGCTTCTATTTTTCGATTTTTTTTTTTTTTTTACTTGCGCAACGATAAAAACGGGCGTCCGATCTTACTACACAGAGACCAGAGGAAATTACTAGAAGTCCAAGTGAAAACAAAATCCTAGCCTTCACTGGGGTTTGAACCCGGGACCTCCAGCACTCGAGGCCACGTAGCACCCATGGTGTCCTTTATATCATGTGTCTGGTAATCTTCGCGCTGGGACCACAAATATTAATGGTGAATTGGTGAATGACAAGCTGAATGTTGTGAAAACCCTTTGGGAGAGAGTGGATAGTTCGGAGCCACAAACTGATCATTACGGTCTGAGAAGAATGGTGCTGCGGGGAGCTACCACGGCCGACGCTCAACACTCAAGGGATGGGCGAGACAGATGTACAATCAGACAGTTACTAGTACCAATGGAATTGGGATTCTTCGTTTGCTGCTGAAGAATGGAACGGAGCGCGTGTTGCAGTGTTCCGACCGAGTGTTGTGATGTCGATTCTTAATTCAACATTTGTCTTCCTCCTTGATGTCTTGCTGTTAAAAAAAAAATCTCAAGCAATATGAGCTGGCTGCGTTCTCACTAGAAGGCCGAACCATTTCCTTCTTTGTCTGTCAAAATAATCCAGATACGGTCTCATTTCAACTGATGTCCCGAGTCTTGTGATTTCGGTTCTTAATTCAACATTCGTCTACCTCCCAGATGTCTTGCTGTTTAAAAAAAAAATCTCAAGCAATAATAATTCAGATACGGTCTCATTCCAACTGTCTCTTTAATGCTGGTATAAGTAAGCCCTGTTCCCTCTTGTGTTGTTAATGCCCTTACTGAGACAGCGCATTTCACAGGCAGTTTTTTTTTTTTTTTTTTTCTGTTCTAGTGCCCTATTCCATATCTATGACTGGCACTGGTAACACAAAGTAGGGACGAAGATGCTGTTAATCATTTGCCATTTTACTATAAGGGAGACGTGGGTGTTGATATGTCGTCCCCTTGTGAGACGCAATTTTTCGTTATTTTGAAGCCCCCACCCCGTCTATTGCCGGGGGCCCTAATATAACCTAACGGTAAAACGGGGGTTTCTGGGACCTCTCCACAAGTGATCTCCATCCGAATGGTAGCACTTTGTTTCATCGGGTGTTTATCGCTTGGTGAGGTTGAATCTCACTCATCTGGGTGTCTATGCAATGGGGCAAGCTGGTAGGAGACAGAATTTGCTCAGCAATAAATTGTACACTATATTTTACCGTCTGTGTCTGCTATATTTAAATTTCTCAAGAGAAAACATCGTTTTGAATATCTTCATTACTGTAAACAAATATGTTACCGTCTGTGTCTGCTTTATTTAAATTTCTCAAGAGAAAACATCGTTTTGAATATCTTCATTACTGTAAACAAATATGTTACCGCCTGTGTCTGCTTTATTTAACTTTCTCAAGAGAAAACATCGTTTTGAATATCTTAATTACTGTAAACAACCTTTGCTTCAAACAGGACACGATTTAATTTCAAGACAATGTAGCCTTGGGGAAAACCAATTAGTTTGGAGATTACAGAAGGACTGTAGACTAGGCCAGTAAGATAATATCAGAAGTAATCGAGGCGAAGCCACCCGTTAAAGATCAATCTATGAGATGAATAAAACATAAATAGTGTGGAAAAATATCTTAGGTGCTTTATTAATATCCCCCCCCCCCCATGACGTCACAGGACAGTCCAACATTTTATAGGGTGGTAAGTCTAAGTTTCCCGGCTTTCAGATGCTTTTAACGACCCCAAAACATTAGAACTGGCCTAACCCCAACCCATCTATGTCCCACGAGAGAGTGCAAGCTAAGGTCCCACGACTGCGTTCAGCCTATCTACCACCCTCTGAAATATTAGAATGTCTCCTGTTTGGGGTAGGATATTAGCACCATATTTCATATCTAGAAGTTCAAAAAGATATCTGTATGTTTTATACTGGATGAACGTTTTACACGAACAGCAACAAGAACAGCCTATTACATGTCCTAAAAGATATGGGATCAGCCGAAAAGACACAAAGACATCATGGGGTGGAGAGGGTAAGGGGGCTAGAGAGAGAGAGAGAGAGAGAGAGAGAGAGAGAGAGAGAGAGAGAGAGAGAGAGAGAGAGAGAGAGAGATCGAACTGAGAAAACAAAAAACCTCTAATAAACCGTTTGTACCTTTCTCAGTGTAATGTAACAGATTAAAATAGCAGTGTCCGGGAAGGCTAACCCGGTCAACAAATGCCCGAAGTCGGATGTGTTAACCGAAAGTTGCAAATA